CTTTTTTTTTTTTTTTTGTTTCATAACTTTTCCACAGAGCCCAACTTCTAAATTGACGAAATGTGTAGCCATCACTTTGTTTGAAATGAAGAGTTTGTAAGGAAGAAGTCTGAGATGTGTTCCAGTCTCGTCATTTCTTTAATTTCTTTAATTTCTGCTCCGGGCTTGTGGTTAAAAGGCCAAACAATTACGTGGGAAATAAAAAAGTGAACCCACTTTCCATAAAGTGGCTTCAACTGACAGCAAGACGACTAATTACCTTTCTAATTACCGAATCCTTTTATTTTTAATGTTGGCTCTCTGCAGAACATGCCAAATGTCAGGGACCACGATGCGTCGGTGTACCTGCGCCTCCAAGGTGACGCCCTGTCGGTGGGCGGCTACGAAAGAAATCCCATTTTCTGGGACGAGGTAAGACTGAATGTTATCAGGTGATGTTGATCTCAGACCCTGCGAGGCTTCGTGTATCGACTGTCTGAGAGCTGCAGGACGTGATGTCTGTCTCACTGGACAAAAAAGTCAAAAGAGTCGCAAAGAAAAGTTTAGCTTYAACCTGCGTCAATTTAAACTAAGTTGTCTGATCTGTTTTTTATCTTTTATCTGACGACCTTGTTGAAGCTTTGGATAAAAAAAAACATGTCAGCATAATCTAAATATAATCCTTTTGAGGCCCAGTTTTATAGCAGGACTTCCGTATAATATGTTTTAGCTAAATGCTTTGGCTTTACCGCTTTAATTCAAGATAAAGATCTTTGACCAGAACTCCTCTTTTAATTCCCATTTTAATATTTTTCCAGAGTGACTCTTGTCCCTCATCATCCCACAGAGACGCTTTGCTCTCAGCTGCTGGTTGACTTCCTGTTCACAGAAGCTTTCTAAGACTTGGAGTCAGTGTGAGGCAGAGCCTTTAGTTTAACACTTTAACAAACCATCTACGTTTTAAAATAGAGATGGTCGAATAATTTAGTTAATTTAATTTAGTTTTTATTTTTGAAGTTAGAGTGTGAATGAGTATATTGTTTGTAGTTGTGTAGGTTCTTCCAGGGATTATTAAATATACTTAAAAAATGTTATGTTTTGTTAAATGAAAAATACACACTGGCCAGTAAAAAGAATATGTGTATATCAAGGCTACGGAGCCCATCTAGTGACAATAATGCATGGCCATGTGATAATTATTGCAGTCCTTTCCATTAAGAGACTGTTGATTGTTAACATGGGCAAATTGGAATTAATTTCATTTTATTTAAATATAGGAACGAAGGACATACCTCAGTCACATATGTTAGGCATGAAGTAAAAGCATAATGGACTCGGGAGCAACGTTGCCTCAAGTGGGTCAAGCCTGTTATATGTTGCAGCTATAAGACAGGTGATGACTGGAAGCTTTAAGAAAAACTTTTTATTTTTTTAAGCTCAACACATAACAGGCTCTTCTCTCACATTGTGCTTTTGGTGCAGAAGGAGACAGAGTTATGTCACGTTCAGGAAAAAAGAAACAAAAAAAATCTGTTTCCTGACACACACTTAGGGCATTCATTTTCATCTCTTAAATGCTTTAAAAGATTTATTGTTAGATTAAACATACACCAATATTATTATTATTATTATTATTATAATTATTATTATTATTACTGTATTATTATAATTATTAAGTGTGGGGTACCTTTGAACAGTTAAACACGAAAACAACATAATCCAACTCCATTATTGACGCCATYTTTCACAAAGACACACAGCTGCTCAGAATGATCTTGTGGTCACACATTATTTATCTCAAAGCCACAAGATATATATTTTTTAAATACAATGTTACCGGACAGCTCCGTAGACATCAGCTGCATTGATTATTACCAATTGGGATAGAAAAACTCGAACCAGTTGACCTCAACTTTTTGAAATATGTGATGTACTTGTAGTTATAGCTTGTTAATTTACCTTTTGTTTTTATTATAGTCTTTTGTACTTTGGTTTAGAATGACCTAATTCTTATCTCACCAGTGATTTTATTTTGAGTGTTGTTCCTCTGCCTGTTTTATTTTTATCCTTCCATTTTGCTCTGAAGCAACTTTAAAAAAAATCCCATCTACTTTTTATTTCATTCGGTAGAAAATTAACTTATTGACAAACAGTGGTGGTTATTTTATTTGTTTCTTCTGGTTAGGTGAAGTGTGCGATCGCTGATGTGAATATGATTTTTAAAAAGGCCAAAGTTTGGAGTGTTCAGAGGAAGTTGTGTTAATAAATGATGTGATTCTGAATTCTGACCTCCCCGCCGTACAGTGAATGCAGCAGGATGTCGAGCTGTGGATGAAGATAAAGATGGGGGGAGGGGGTGAATTTTAATCTGAGTGAGCTGCAGATCTGAGCGGCTCAATGTGAGGAACACACTTTGATATGTGCTTTAGCTGATGCTCGCATCAGATACACAGATAGTGTGTGTGTGTGTGTGTGTATAATAT